GTACAACGATCATTTGTATACCTAACCCTGAATTGTGCCCATCTTTAAAAGAAAAAGAAAAAAATAGTAATTTTAGATTACTATCATCTTTGACTAATATTTGTTCTGCATTACGGCATGATACAAAGTAAATATATCGTATCTTGAGATATTAAAAAAAAAAAATGAAGGTCTGAGTAGTTCTTATATTGTAATTCACAGAATATAAAATCCTTTGGAGACCTCTTGTGGTTAAACTTAAGAATACCAATATAAACCTAATATTTTCAAATAGATATTCTAAAATTCTAAGGCATTCATTTGCCCTTTCTCACATAAGTTTAACATATTATGTCATTAATATCAACCAGACAAAAATTGCTGTTTTGACCTTCGGGTTTACAACAGAAGAAATAGTCTCAGACACAAAAACTACCTATTCGTGTTTATAACAGACAAGACGATACCAGCATAAATAAAACAAAACAAATGCTATATTTGGAAATGAAATGCTACATTGTTTACTGGTAGTAAATATGGAACAGAATTCTGGCAAGCTATCTTCCTCTTATCTAATTAAAAACATTCCTTATGCCCCTTGCTGAGTTTTTTTCTTCCTTTTTAAAAAAATATGTCTGGAAGTTGCATCTCAGCTGACAAAGGCTTAACTTTATGGATGTTAATATGAAACCACTAGCACTTAGGGAAAAAATAAAGGTACGACCTCACCTCACAAAGTAAAGCAATATAAAACAAAAAAAAGAATTAAAAATTGAGCTGGGCACGGTAGCTCACGCCTGTAATCTCAGCACTTTGGGAGGCCAAGGTGGGAGGACTGCTTGAGCCCAAGAGTTCAATACCAGCCTGGACAACATAGCAAGACCTCATCTCTACAAAATTAAAAATTAAAAAATTAGCCAGGTATGGCAGTATGCACCTGTAGTCCCAGCTATTTGGGAGACTGAGGACCACTTGAGCCCAGGAGTTTGAGGCCACAGTGAACTGTGATCCTACCTCTGCACTCTAGCATAGGCAACATAGTGAGTCCTTGACTCAAAATGAAAAAAATTAAATTAAATCAAGAAAAATGTATTGACTAAAATAAAATATAGATGACGTGCTTTCAAAATGGGGAGAAATATTTTTAAGTATAAAAATAATGAAATGCTACCAGAAGTATGGTGAACTGAACTGGTCAACTAAAAACATATAGAAATAGTGAATTAAAATACAGTTGGGCAACCCACTCATGTCCCCTCCCACTGTGGGAGCTTTTCTGTCTTCTCAATAAATCCTACTTAAAAATATATAAATATATGTATATGTATATATATATATATATTTTTTTTTTTAAGTAGGATTTATTGAAGAGAATCAAAAATTTTTAAATCTTAAAAGACAAACTCCCCAAGGGCAAAAAAAATGAGACCGACAACAGCAGGTGGGAAATCCCCCCATAAGGGACCATGTACAGACAGCATAATAAGGAGGTCCACAAATTTCTGGTAGAAGTTCCAGAACAGAAGAGAGACAATGTTCAAGGAGACAAGGGTTGACATAAATAATAAGAAAAAGAATCACTCAGAGAGAGCTTTTCATGCCAGGCATTGTTTCAAGTACTCTGCCTATATTAACTTACTTAATCCTTATGATAATCTTATGAGCTCAGCACTCTTAATACCCCTACTTAAAGAAAAGGGCACTGAAGGACAACACAATAGAAGAGTTTACCTGAAATCACTATGAGGAAGAGTCAGTGTCCCACTCCAAAACCCTGTCTCAAGAGCTAACACACTGCTTGTTCCTCTGACTTCTGAATCTCTACTACTCCACTCTGCCCCAAAGATATAAAGTAGCTGTAGACATTCCAAGAAATGCAGATTTAACTTATGACTTTGCTTAGTCCAATATGCAAGTAAAATAGAAATAAAGGATACAAAAAGAAAATTTACAAAAGATGAAAAGTCACACGTGGTAATAAACAAAGGAGAAACAACACACAATGCCAACCAGAGAAATAAAAAAAAAAGAGAGAGAGACAAAAACAGGCGTTAGATTTGACAAGACCCACATGTGATACCCAAGCTACCTTAAGTATGCCAAATTCAGGTGTTTGAACCTTGTCTAATGAACAGACACTTAGAAATGTCACCAAGAAATGCTTCTTGCCAGACAGAAGTTCAGTTTTGGCAATGTACAGCACCATGGAATGTTTTGATATTTTATCAAATTTTGCTTTTGTTTTATAAAAAAATAAGTGGAAAACAGAAAACTGAATATGTTTATATAATTAATTAACTTTAGACTCAACCAAAGTTAATACACACTCAGTTATGAAGAAAAACAAAACCAAAGACAAAAAATACTGAAAATACAGCTGTAGACGCCCATCTTTAAAATTTTTTTAGAGATTTTATTAATTTTTTTAAGCTAAGAGCAGCACCCCTTATAACTTTACTATTTGACTTTAAGTTATTCAAGTTTGAGCAAGTGGTCAGAAAAGGATTAAGATAAAAATTAAGGGACTTGATGCAGAATGTGTCATCTTTGCAAGTAGCAGGGATTATTTAAATGCTCATCCCCAGTGTGAGCAGGAGTTGAAAGAAACCTGCTACACTATACTGATGGAAGTATAAATATTACCAATTCTAGCAAGCAATCAAAGCTTTATAAATGTTTATGCCCTCTGATTCAGTAATTTCACTTTCAGGAATCTATTTTGAGGAAATAATCAGAAATGTACACAAATATTTCTATGTATGGATAGTCTTTATAGCAACATTTAAAATATTGAAAAAAATGATACAACATAAAAAAGGAGAACAGATAAATTATGATCCATCTACATGGACGAATGTTGTGCATTTTGTTTTCTTTTCTTTTTTTTTTGAATAAGAGTCTCATTCTGTCACCTAGACTGGAGTGCAGTGGCACACTCATGGCCACCGCAGCCTCAACCAGCTGAGCTCAGGCAATCCTTCCGCCTCAGTCCTCCAAGTAGCTGAAAGCACAGGCATGCACCACCATACCCAGCTAATTTTTTATTTATTGTGAAGATGAGGTCTCACCATGTTACCCAGACTGGTCTCGAACCTGTGGGCTCAGGCAATCCTCTTGCCTCAGCCTCCCAAAATGTTGGGATTATAGGCACGAGCCATTACACCTAGCTGGACACTCCCCTTCTCGGAAATGAGGAGGACATCTAACACCAAAAAAACCCCAACAGCCAGCGCGATAGCTCACATCTGTAATCCCAGCAAGACGGGAAGCCCAGGCAAGAGGATTGCCTGCACCCAGGAGTTCGAGACCAGCCTGGGCAATATGGCGAGACCTCGTCTCTACAATAAATATATTTTAAAACCTAACCAGGCATGGTGGCAAGCCTGTAGTCCCAGCTACTTGGAAGGCTGTGGCAGAAGGACCGCCCAAGTCCAGAAGGTCAAGGCTGCGGTAGCTGGGCACTCTCACCTGGGCAACAGAGAGAGATTTCCACATTTCGTTTTCAAGAGTACCTACTGTAATGTTAGCAGATGAAAAGATGTTCACTAGGATCTGCTTCAAAATAAATAATCTGGGAAAGTGGGAAGAAGGGTATCAAGAAATTAGACTGGTACTGAGAAATGTTGAAGTTGGTAGATAGGTTCACAGAATTTCACTATACTATTCTATATAATTTTGTATATGTTTGAAATTTTCCATTATAAAGTTTTTAAAAAGAGGAATTTTAAGTTAAAAAAAACAGACTACAAAAGTGATTTTTCAACATGAATTCAAGTTCATAAGTGAAAAAAGTGATATACATACATGGAAATAATACATCAAAATGTTTTAACAGTCATCTTTGGACTTGACTTATTATTTTTCCCTTCTTATTGTAACTCCCAATTTCTTCTAAATGAACATAATAATTTTATAATCAGAAAAACAAATTATGAGAGCTACTTTACAAGAAATCAAATTCAAATGAAAAAGAACACTCAACACCAACAACAAAGAAACATATGGAATTTCACTTAATAAACCAGTTTCTTTTTCTGATTCGCCAACCTCCTAAATGAAAATCTCAGGGGCTCCCTGCCAAGTCTGAAGTCCAAGTTCCTCATGAACACCATTCCTTCACTGAGATCCAGCACCCTTTCTGATGTCTCCCACAAGGCTCCTCTCAGGGGCAGTACAGAGTCTTGCCGAGGGAGCACCCTCACCCTTGGCGCTTAGTACCAATGCAACAAGTCCAGGGAGGTGTGCGCACACCTGTGCTCCTGTCGGGCTATAAACCCCATCAGACACACATCACAACCACATTTCCTTCCTCTGCATGCACACTGCTTCATAAATAAGAGTTGTGACTGTAATCTAGCAAATAAAACCAGTGGACACAGCCATGAATTGAACTTGCAGCTCAGATTAAGCAATTTCAAAAATTACATTAACTTTGTAAGAAATGAACTCTAAATTTTCTCCAGAAACTGAAGATTAGTTACCAATACTAAAGCACCTTAATTACAAAATAATATCATTAAATAATATCAGAAACCCCTTTGTTATTATTACTACTTTTTAATAGAGACAAAGTCTTGCTATGCTGCCTAGGCTGATCTCGAACTTCTTTGCTCCAGCAATCCTCCCACCTCAGCCTTCCAAAGTGCTGGGATTACAGGCATAAGCCACTATGCCCAGAAACCCTTTTAAAAAGACCAACTTCTAAAAGTCCAACATTAAGGAGACAGTATGGGCAATTCAAGGTTTTTTGTTTGTTATAGATGAGGGAGAGGTCTCACTTCAGTTGCCCAGGCTGGTCTTGAACTTCTGGCCTCAAGCAATCCTCCCACCTCGTCCTCCCAAAGCACTGGGATTGCAAGCGTGAGGCCACTGTGCCTTGTTTTGTTTTTTGTTTTATTTTCTTTTTCATTTCCACTACTACAAAGGAAATATGATTTTTTAAAGTAAAAGCTATTTCTAACAACTTTAATAAGTATCAGTTTTAGAACTGAACCTAAGTTTCCAGCAGGGTGCCGGCTCACCTGACAGCAGTGGCTCTGCGGACGAGCGCCTCTGTGGGCTCTGACAAGGCTGATGGAAGCAGTAGTTCAGCCGGCTGCAAGCTAGACATCCGCGTTTCCAGCTCTGAGCGGGAGGCTGAGTCCTGGAAATTATCAAACACAACCTCACCTGTGGTGGGCTGTACTCCCTAGAAACAAACAAATACAATGTCAGAGAAACATCTACTCTTCCAGCTATAAACATGGAAACAGTAAAGATGACACACTCTCTATTACTTAAAGCATTTAGAAACCAGTCTGCTTCTCAAGATTCTAACCTGAAGACTCAAGATTCGTAGATGTGAAACTATACTAAATGGGACTTTTGAGAGTGATCATGGCAAATCACCAAACCTCACTGGGACTCAGTTTTTTCCTCTGTAAATGGGAATAAACCAGTCTACTTCTCTCACAGGCTTACCGTAAAGATCAAATGATAAACATGTGAATTCTTTGTGAATTATAAAGCACTGTACAAACTGCAGTTATCACTAAAAATTACTAGGACCCAGGATATAGTCCTAGTAACCTGGACCACCACAAGAACAGAGGCAAATTATTGCTTCATATATGAAACCAATCAAAACAACAAAAAAAATAATTTTCACAAAAAAGATTAAATACAGCAAACCGTGAATGAACTCCAAGCAGACAGTTCATCCAATGAGTTACCACACCAGTTTAAAGCCATCCCTGAAACCCTGGCCAGTAACAACAAAGATAAGCTGGAAAGATCGCGACTGTGAAGATGTTGCATAGGGCTCTTCGGCCAAGGTCCCGAGTGACTACATGGAGAGCCAAGATGCAACCCCAGGTGGCCTGGCTTGCCAGGACACACCCTCATCCCCCACTGAAGCTGTGATGTGCAGAAACTAGTTACAGAATGCTAAGCTAGAGGAGAAAACTACAAATCCCGGCATACACACACTTGATGGAAAACCAACAGACAGCCACCATTATCTGGGAGAGATGAGACGTCCACACCCTTCTGAGAAACTCAGGCATGTGCATGACAGCAGACACAAACAAGTGTGTGTAGAGCTGCATTCTATGCACAACCAAAACCAGAAAGAACCCACGTGTCTATCCATAGCAGAGTGAACAAACTGTGGATCACAGAATGAAACAGGATACAGCAACAACACCCACAGCAGCACATGTAAATGAGCCTCCTGTACAAAACAGTCAACAAAAGGAGTCGGCCCAAAGGAACACACAATGTGTTCACATTTGTATATAAACTCTAAGATAGTACAGCTGGAACTAAAGCAGGAAATGATCATGTTAAGAGTCAATGTCAGCCACCTCTAGAGGAAGGACACACAGGGACCTTATGAGTTTCAGGTGGTGTTACAGTTCCTGACCTGGTAAGTGGCTCATGGCACCCTGCAAATTTCTGTTTTATTAATTTTTCCATTTGAATATTTTATAATTTTTCAAAATCTCTCTCATTTGTATCTCAAGGAGCTTACTTAATTTTACCCCAGAAGCTTTCTCTGGTGTCCACACAGCTGGACTATCAGTATACTAGGATATATATATTCTTTCTTTTTCAGTAGATATGGGATCTCACTATGTTTCCTAGGCTGGTCTTGAACTTCTGGTTATTAAGTGATCTTCCCATCTCAGCCTCCCAAAGCACTGGGATTATAGTTGTGAGCCACTGCACCCAGCCCCTTATATAAATTTATATACCAATCTACAAACCAAACATTTAAAAAGGGTATATAGGTGTTCAAATAACAAATTTTCAGCCTAATTCCCTTTTGCTCTACTTAATCAGAAAAATGACCTGTACCCTAAGACCTGCAATATCTATCACTGTGATATGTGACATCGAGAAGCCAACAGTCAGTCTGTGTAGAGCTGCACTTCCCAGGCTGAAGGCTCAGGGCCCAGTCACAGCGGTACAACAGCAAAGCCCTAGGTTTTGGACTAAGTTCCAGTACCCAAAAGATGACTCCCAGGTAGTAACCAGAGAGTGTATAACATTCATTATGACAGGGAAAAATCCAGGGAGGACAGTGTGGAGAGTAAAGGACGATAAGATCTCATCTCAGTCACCCAGAGTTTGCAGAGGCATAGCAAATTCTCAATGTTCAAAAGACTTGGATGCTGGAACCTGGAGCTCCGGGGAGGTGTGGCCTAGACCCAGAACTCAGTACATCAACAGCCCAGTGGTTGCTGAGGTCAAGGACAAGCCCCCAGGCACTGCTTGAAGGGCAATGATTTTTCATTTTTCCAAGTTCCAGTTCACACACATGATCAATTTTGGCAGTGGGTCAGAGGTATTTCTAAACACACTAACTAGGAATTATACACTACCAACTCTCTTCTTTGGACTGAGTTTCAGGTAAACACAAAGTAGTACATCACATGTGTGAAAGCCTAAAAGCAAACCCTCCTGTTTGTAGACAGGCCCAGCTACCTGTGGCTAGATAAAAAGTGCTTCTCAAGGATAAGAAAATCACTGAGAGCACCCAGCACCAATAGTAATGCAACTCCCTGAGAAGGGATCACTGGTTAAGCAATGTCAAGTCAGCAGTCATGCAGCCAGGTAAGATACTAAAAAGCACACTGGAGACATTCTGGTTGTGACAATTTTTGCTAATACTGTCACTGGCTGCAGAAATTAGAAAAAGCAAAAAAAATTAGTTATTCCTTGAACAGAGTTCTAGTGCTGCTTAACTTACAACAAGGGAGTCTAAGAGTTCTGCAGGACCCTAAAAAAAACCAAGATTTTGAGCAGAATCCAGGCAAGTCTGTAAATAGGCAAATTTATTTGTAAACTGCCAGAAGGCAAGCTCAATAAAGCTGATTCACAAATCATATTTACCTGGAAGACTGACTGACTGTAAATAATCCTAACATTAATTTATATAGTGTTTTGTACTGGCCAATTGTCATTTCCCCATAACCACCCCTTCCTTCGAATCTAGATGTGATAATCCCATGACAGTTCATGTTTAACTTCAAACCCCCAGAGAAAATCTGTAAAACACTATGCCACCTGCACTTGCTGGTATGGTATTTTATGGTGCTATCTGCACACTGTCCATGCATGCCTTCACTGAAGTCCTATAGCACAAGGGCCCAAACCATCTGGATTTCTCCACAGCACAGAGTTTCAAGTTTAACAAATAATATTATGAGAAAAATGTTTTCTTGGGGCTTTTTGTTTTGTTTTTAGTCAGAGTCTCACTCTGTCACCCAAGCTCGAGTACAGTAGCATGATTATGGCTCACCACAGACTCAACCTCCTGGGCTCAGGCAATCCTTCTGCCTCAGTCTCCCGAGCTGGGATTACAGGTGCATGCCACATCTGGCTAATTTTTTTATTTTTTGTAGAGACAAGGTCTTGCTATGTTGCCCAAGTTCGTCTTGAACTCCTGGGCTCAAGAGATGCCCCTACCACAGCCTCCAAAAGTACTTGGATTACAGGCATAAGCCAACAAGACTGGCCACAACATTTCTCTAGCACAATTACCTGAAGGCACAGATATCTTCATTACAGACCATACATGACTACTCATATTTAGATATATCATGAACATCTATCACTTATTCTTCACTTATAAAGTACTTACCACAATGCCAATAACAATGTTCCCCTTTTTTTTGTCCTTAATGTTTTCCTTATTTTCACAGACACACAGAAGGTAGTTCGTAGAAGTATCAGTCATTATCTCATCAACATTTATAGCATCATCCAGCTTGATTAGGGGATTCACATGTAATGATCATTAAAGAAAAATATATGCTAAATTTCATTAATATTAACTATTTTCTCTTGTGTGTCTGTATAAAATGTTTCTATTAATGAAATTCTCAGGGATGAAAGCTGATTTTGGACAAGGTCAGTCTGGGCACATCCAATTTAGGAATTAGGAGATAAGAGCTACAACAGCAGCAAGAAGGGGTGATGTTCTAGGGATGGGCTTCAAATAAGAACCTCAAGCTCAGTCAAAAGAAAAAATAAAATTACCAGGCTTCTACAGTCAGATCAGCTTTGAATAACACAATGCAGTTCAAGGTTTGGAGTTCATTCTAAGTGACAGCCATTCCCTATCTATGGTATTAATGAAACAAAACAGTTCTTAGAATGTGGGTAGAAGCTAACTATAAATCAGTAGATTTGTAATAAACCCTAACAGAAATTATATTGTCACACAGTATCATTTAAGACCTTCTTATGTCTATATTCTTTTCTTCTAAAAGACCTGACCCCACCCCTAGTAAACATTTTTAAATGCAGCCTTATCTCATTTTGTATATAATTATTTGGCTTTTAAAATGACAGATTTTTATGACCTTGCTTTTGAAATTATTTTGCTTCAAGTAAAATTGAATTTATGAATGAAATGAGTCTTGTGAAGTGAGAAGGCTTCACCTACAATCTATTTCCAAAAGTAATAAAATTTTTATGGAGCTAACAATTAATGTAGATGGCCTACTATTTACATTTTATAAGCATTTAACTGTCTTAATTTTGACTTTGGAAGTTTTCTTTTCACATGTTGAAGTTAAGTTATTTAGGGGTCTTATTTTAAGATGATGCTAAGGAATTTGCAGTCCCTACACACCTCACCACGGCCCATAAACATAAGAGAAAAGATGTGAGTTCAAATCACTGCCAACTTGACATCATCTTCTACAGGGATCGCTTTTTTCCTGCTCGTAAAGTGTGATGAGTTCTCCTTTTACGTGACATTCGAAAAGCACTGTTTCAAGCCCTGCCAATCTCTCCTCTTCAGAGATGCACCTAGCCAAGGGTTCAAGCAACCTCACCACCTCATCTCATCAAAAAGGTGCCCAAAGGACAATTTTATTTATTTATTTATTTATTTATTTATTTTTATTATTATTATTTGAGTCAGAATCTCACTCTGTTGCCCAGGCTGGAGTGCAGTGGCACGCTCATGGCCACCCCAGCGTCAACCTACTGGGCTCAGACGATTCTTCTGCCTCAGCCTTCCAAGTAGCCAGAACTACAGGCATGCACTACCATGCCCAGCTAATTTTTTGATATATTGTAGAGATGAGGTCTCACCAAGTTGCCCAGGTTGGTCTCGAACCCATGGGTTCAGGCAATTCTCTCATCTCAGCCTCCCAAAGTGCTCAGATTACAGGCTTGAGCAATCATGCCCAGCCAGGACAATTTTAAAAAGCCCTAGCACCTTAAGACAAAGTCCTTACACCATTAAGAGAAAAATTCTATTAAAAAAAGGATATCTTCGCCAATGAGTGTAGACTTCGTATAAAGAGCAGTCAATTTGCGGGAAAAGAGTGAACTTTTGTTGTCTCCAATGGCCTTTAATGCTGCCGTTTCAGTTTGTTTCACAACTCCCACCTTCAAGAAAAATAAGAAATACTGACTATTAAATAATAAAAAAATATTGTTAAGAACTAATTTCAAAACGTTTAAAGGGTAATTCTGAAACACTTAAAATAAATAAACTAATCCACGATGTCTAGATGCAGGCTCTAAGTAATAAGCACCACAAGCAGCTGACAAGTGTGGACAGGTTACTTAGAAACATTCTATCAGAGAGTTAAACATTATACCCTAAATGTCTAATAATACACTAAAAACTCTTGAAGATATAATGCTAATAATTATGAAACACTTTCATTTCTCCAAAATGTCAAATTCTAAAACCAATTAATGCCCACTTGCCACCTTACAAAACATGTTTCCACTCTCTGGAAGAGAACCCAATCACCTTTTCCTGCAAATTAAAGGCAAAGCTGACCTTATATCCTTTTGCCACCAAGCGACGAACATGAACAAACAGCCTATGAGTAGGGATACTTGCTGTCATAAAGTTGTGATCTAAATGGCAATAAATATTGAGCTCCCGGGCTGCAATCTAAAAATTAAAAAAGAATATTAATAAATTTCTATCTTAAGATTTCCTAAGTGTGTTTTGCTCGCTTTGTTAAAAATTTATCAAGTATACACTTAGGATTTGTATGTATACTTAACTAAATGTACGATACATCAATGAGAAGTTTTAAAGACATGTTTGTATAGAAGTCTAAGGTTTAGTCTATCTTTGGCAGTTCCAAAGGCCTAACTTTACAGCCACCATCTGTATCTACAAATGACGCAGAAAAACATGACAAGTCTTCCCCTATGTCCTTGGATCTATCAAAACCTTAAGATGCTGAGCTTTCACTACACAAAAACTATTTAACACAGACAGCAGGAGGCTGTAATGAAACAGGAATCTGCCACACGGCATGTGCAAATAACTAACAATTAGAAGATACCACAGCAAATATATAAGTGATAAACCCACTTGGACAGAGGAAACTTTGAAGAAGTGAGGAAAAAAAAACCCTGGTCCAGTTGGCTAATTAATGATGCATAACTGAGAGAAATATAGAATCAAGCAGCACTACCTGTACCATGGCTGAATTTTGCACACTAAAGCCATGGGAACTCTCCTTCCAACACTCTCACTCATCAACCCTACCCTATCTCTGAACTATTTTCATCCCTAACAGAAGGGTAGGAAAACATCAGCCTTTACTGTGGTCATACCTGAATTTACCATTTAACCTAGACAGTTTCTTTCTCCCCTTCACCCACGTACAGAACGTCAACTATGTATTTGTTCCTGTCCTCAGAAAACATGCTGACACTACATCAGAGTTTAATTTCAGCACAATGCAACAAACTTAAAAGAACATATTCTTCCTGCTACAGAGGTCTTAAGAAACTTTAAGGAAAAAAGTTAGCCAAATGTTCATTTCCTATTCATGAGGCAGCAGACATGCTACTGCACGATCCTCTGGCGCTGGATCATCCAACCATGCCTAAAACTGTGCAATCATCCAAATCATTCACAACTTCTAACAAAGGTGTCATCAGCAGTACTTTCCCTAAGCTTGACCACTGAACGCTCAAGATATTTAATGTAGGCCCCAGTGAAGAAGGTTAAATGTTAACTTGAGCATTAAATGCAATCCTGAAAAGTTAAACTTAAAAATCAAATATAATTCTGTAGTACCAAGGGTACCTGCATAATGAACATTTGTATACTTAACCCTGAATTGTATCCCACATCTTTAAAATGAAAAAATTAAAAGAAAAAAAAAATCATGTAGCACTTCAAACACTTCTTCTTGGTAGCTGGCAGAGTTAATATGTTCTTCTACTGAGACTTAACTTTGTTCCTGGCTATGAAAATTCATAAATCAAGAGTAAATAGAAGAACTTCCACATCTCAAAATCTTTTTCTTGCTTGAATCTTCATTAGAAAACATATTCACATGATTATGGTTCAACACTAATTGATCCATTCAATAAACTTCTGATGGATTAAAAAGTACTGTCCCAGCACCAAGGTGAAAAAGCACTAACATTCCAGTAGGGACCCTCACCTCTCCCCTACAAGTCTGACTTCCATGAAGTTTCTTGTGTCTATTTTAGGTTTTTATAATACTTTAAATGTATAATACTTTAAATGACAGCATTTTTAAAAGGTAACTGATTAAAATAGCTTTTACATAAGATCAGAAAATGAAACAAAAATACTAAAAAATATCTAAGGCTGGACACGAAAACATGAAATTGTATTTGAAAAATGACTTACCTCTGCATCTTCCCCAAAGAATCGATACTTATATCCACATTCCACACACAACACTGCATCTTTGTGCTGCTGCTTCATCTCTATGTATTGTAACTCTAACGGTGTATAGATGCTTTTGGATCGTTTATTAGATGGTTTAGAATCAGAAGTTTTCTGTAAATTGTCTTGACTATGTGATGATCCAAACTGACTGAGATCACAAAGCATCTTGCCCTGCCAACCAAAAGATTTATATAATTTTAAAAGTATTAACCATAATAATAAGTTTCCAGAGAGAGAAAATGCAAATTTGGCAAAAAGCTAACACTTGGTCAATCTAGATAAAGAGTTTATAGAAGCATATTGTAGTACTCAGGCAAGTAATCGGAGAATTCAAAACTTTTTCAAAGTAAAAGGTTAAAAAATTTAAGAATAAATGACACTATCAAATAACTACACAAATTTTGAAAGTCTTAACATCTTAATGTTTTATATACTTTTTTAAAATTTGATTTAATTAAATAAATTATTGTTAAGATTACTATTCTTTTTGTTACTTATTCTCAGGTTCATAATGCACAAAGGACCAGAAGCACAAATCTGGCTCTCTCAGGAGTAGGGCAAAACCACTTTGGGTAAACACGCCAACAGCTAAATTGTCCTATTTCTAAGGACACCCTAAAAGACAATATGTTCTATAAATCTTTATTCCAAGAAAGAATCACGACTTTTGGTAAAGAAATATGAGAAAGAGCTCTCAGAAAACACAGAGCACAGGCTATATTTTCAGTCTTAGTATTCCTACTATCCCTACCTTCCTGTGACGAGAATCATCATTTATGCCAATTCACAGCTTAGAGCAAATTCCTTGCTTACTAGACACAATTTAGAAAAATGTAAAATAAGATAAATTTATAGGATAAATCAAGCTCCTAATTAATTGTCACTCCATCACTGTCAACATCTAAAAAATTTCCAAGCTACCCCTAGAATAAAAAATATAGCCTAAAAGACTATAGACTAATAGAAAGAGATAAGAGAAATGGCCCAGGAAGGGGAGTCCAGTCCAAAAGAAAACCCAGAAACATGTACTTTGCAGTTGCCAAATGTTTACATAATTCAGTTGCCTGGGACACGAGGTAAAAACATTAACTTTTCTTTTTTTCTCTTTTTCTTTTTTTTTCACCTTTAAATGTATTTTAAAATTGTGGGGTACAATTCAGGGTTAGGTATACAAACATTCATTGTGCAGGTTCCCTTGTTGATGAGGTGTGCCCTCCCTTCCCCAGGACGTTTCCCACTACTGCCAATCCCACCTCCCCGGCCCCCTTCCCCCGCAGTTTCCTGCTACTGTCAATCCTTTTCTTACAGTATTATGATAGTTGTTCAAGGTCCACTTATGAGTGAGACCATGTGATACTCAGTTCTTTGTTTCTGTGAAAGATCACTCAGTATTACATAGACTCTAAGTCCATTCAGGTTGCTGCAAAGTTCATGATTTTGTTCTTCTTTATGGCTGCGTAATATTCCACTGTGTATATGTACCACATTTTTTTATCCAGTCCTCTTTTGATGGGCAGCACAGTTGGCTCCATGTTCTTACTATTGTAAACAATGCTGCGATAAGTATATGTGTGCAGGTATCTTTTTTATAGAGTGATTTGAGTTCTTCTGAGTATATTCCCAGTAGGGGGATTGTGGGGTCATATGGAAGGTCGATTTTTAGAACTTTTAGGCATCGCCACACTCTTTTCCACAGAGGCTGTACTGATTTACACTCCCACCAACAGTGTAGAAGTGTTCCCTTTTCGCCACATCCTCTCCAGCATCTGTTATTTTTTGAGTTATTGACGATGGTCATTCTGACTAGAGTTAGGTAGTATCTCAGTGTAGTTTTAATTTGTATTTCTTTGATGACTAGTGAGGTTGAACATTTTTTCATGTGTCTGTTGGCTACTCATATGTCTTCTTTTGAGAAGTGTCTATTCATATCTTTTGCCCACTTTGTAATGGAGTTGTTTGTTTGTTTTTTCTTTTCAGCACGTTTGAGTTCCTTGTAGATCCTAGATGTTAGACCTTTGTAAGACATAGAGTTGGCAAATATTTTTTCCCAGTCTGTGGACTGTCTCCCTGCTCCCTTGATGGTTTCTTTGGCTTTGCAGAAGCTTGTCAGTTTGATAAGGTCCCACTTGTCTATCTTATCTCTTAAGGCATGGGCACTCAGGGTTTTGTTCAGGAATTGGTTGCCAGTTCCAATTTCCATAAGAGTGTCTCCTGCATTTTCTAAGATCCTCTTATAGTTTTAGGTTTTACGTTTAGGTCTCTGATCCATTTAGAGTTGATTTTTGTGTATGGTGAAAGGTGGGGTCCTGTTTCAATCTTCTGCATGTGGTCAGCCAGTTTTCCCAAAACCATTTACTGACTAGGTTTTCCTCTCCCCAGTGGTTGGTGATGGAGACTTTGTCAACATTAACTTTTCAAAGAGACTCAATTTATCTACAAACCTTCAGGAGTCTGCAGAAAAACTGAGCTTTTAAAATGAGATAAACACAGACAAAATGAGAGCTTTTAAAACAATATCCATGCCCAGTGCTCATTAAAGACCAACTAAATAAGATTCTGAGGGAAGTTCTTAATACCAGATTTGGTTTAAATGCCCTATGACATTCTAGTTTAAAGGCAGGATTGACAGCCAACCACAATTCTGAATTATAGATTTAAATGATGGAGTTAAATTCCCTGATTTTGTAATGATCAAAACCATTAAAAGTCACAAAACAAACACTGGAAGAAGTAAAAAGCCCATCTTCATGTGGCTTCCCTTTAAATTTACTTTATATCTGTCAAGCTTTCAACAGAAAACCTCAAAACAACTATGTAAGTGGCCCACCATGATTTTCCATGCTATTCATGGAAACTATAAAAAGAACAAAAAGAGACTGTGCTTGTGTTAATTATCAATAAAGCATCCCCCAAGTCACTAGTTCCCAGTCTAGGAAGTACATTGTAATTATAAAAAAAGGTTTTGTTTTGTTTCAAAAAAACCCAACCATCCCCAAAACAATGAATCAGAATCTCCAGAGACAACAAAAACAAAACTAAACTAACAAAAAAACTCCCTCAGTTAATTCAGATAATCACCCAAGTTTGGAAACCACCACCCTGAAAGACCAAACCAACCTCCAGTACTTCAGGACCACAGATCCAGTACACTCAAAGAACCCAATATTATTTCAGAACCACTACCCTGAGGTCACTGAGGGCAGCGGTTCTGAAGTACTATTATGTTCTGTGTGGTTACTCAGTCCCAAACCTAACAGGACTTTAGAATCACAACCTGAATGATGCAATAGAAACGAATACTACTACAGTTCCACTGGCATGACTGACCCCAGAAGAACCCACAGTACTTCAGAACCACTGCCCTGAGTGGCCCCATAGAACCTAACTGTCCCTCGGAAACATAATCCTGAGTGACTCCATAGAACCTAATAGTACTTAAGACCCAGTGCCCTGACTGATCCTACAGAACCTAAAAGTACTTCAGAACCTCTGCCCTCAGTGACCTCACAGACCCTAATAATACTTCAGAACCACCACCCTGAGTGATCATACAGAACATGAAAGTATTTCAGAACCACTGCCCTGAGTGATCCCGCAAAATATAACAGTACTTCAGAACTACTGCTCTAAGTGACCTCACAGATCATAATACAGTACTTCAGAACCACTGCCCTGAGAGACTCCACAGAACATAGTAGTACTTTAGCACCACTGCCCTCAGTGACTTCACAGAACCTAAAAGTACTTCACAACCACTGCCCTCAGTGACCTCACAGAACCTAATAGTACTTCAGAACCACTGCCCTGAGTGACCCCACAGAACATAATAGTACCTCAGAATCACTGCCCTCAGTGACCTCACAGAATCTAACAGTATTCCAGAACCACTGCCCTCAGTGACCTCACAGAACCTAAAAGCACTTCAGAACCACTGTCCTCAGTGACTCCACTGATCTAATAGTACTTTGGAATGACTGCCCTGAATGACTTCACAGAACATAGTAATACTCAGAATGACTGCCCTCAGTGATCCCACAGAACATAATAGTACTTTAGAACCACTATCCTCAGTAACCTCACAGAATCTAATAGTACTTCAGAACCATTGCCCTCAGTGAGTCCACAGAACCTAATAGTACTAATTCTAACAATATTTATAACCACTGCCCTGAGGGACCCCACAGAACATAACAGTACCCAGAATGATGCCCTGAGTGACCCTATAGAACGAAATGCTACTTCAGCACTACTGCCCTCAGTAACCCCACATAACGTAATAGTACTTCAAAACCACTGCCTTCAGTGACCCCACCGAACCTAACAGTACTTCAGAACCACTGCCCAGAGTGACCCCACAGAACATAACAGTACCCAGAATGACTCCCCTCAATGACCTCACAGAACCTAATAGTACTTCAGAAACACTGCCTTCAGTGACCTCTTAAGGACCTAATAGCACCTCAGAACCACTGTTCTCAGTGACCCCACTGAACATAATAGCAAAAGATCTGACAATTGAGCTTGTTTTAGGAAAAATATTACATACCTCATTGCTAAATATCACTACAGTCACCTTCAAAGTACTCCCCTTGGGAAGCTATGCACCGATGCCAGTGTCTAATGAACCCATCAAAGCAATTTTGGAATGTGTTTCTGGACTGGCCATCAGAGCTGTTGTCACAAGAATATCGGAGTTTGAATTAGAGCAACAAACATTAATTTCTTGTTAAACTTGGCAAGAGTGGAAGTGAAATCAGGGACATGTCAGTCCAAGTTTATGGGGATAATGCCATGAAGAAAACAGCAGTGTACAAATAGATTAAACATTTTTCTGGGTGCAGAAAAAGTGTCACTGATGAACAGAAGTCAGGATGGCCAGTAACAAGCAGAACTGACAAAAATACTGATAAAAAATTTGTAGATTGTGCATCAAAATCACCAGCTGACTGTGAGAAGCATAGCAGACCAAATAAACATTGATAGAGAAACAGTTAAGAAAATCTTTACAGAAAATCTTGGCATGACAAAAATGTGTGCCAAAAAATGGTCCCAAAGGAGCTCTTGCATGTACCAGCTCACATAGCACTTTCTGTGAGGGGATTTTTAGCCAGTAAACAAATAACTGTATTAGAACACCCTTCCTATTCACATAATAGTACTTCATAATAGATCTGGCCCCAAATGACTTTTTTCTTTACCAAAAGATAAAGGAAATATTGAAAGGAAGATATCTTGATGGCACTGGGACACCAAGGGTAATATGATGACAGCTCTGATGTCCATTCCAGAAAAAGAGCTCCAAACTGCTTTGACAGATGGACTAGGCGCTGGCACTGGTGCATAGCTTTCCAAGGGGAGTACTTTGAAGGTCACCGTAGTGACACTCAGCAATGAGGAGTGTAACATTTTTTCTAAGGTGAGTTGCCGGACCTCATACTTCAGAACCGCTGCCCCGAGTGACCCCACTGAACCTAATAGTACTTCAGAACTACTGCCCTCAGTGATCCCACAAAACATAGTAGTACTTCAGAACCACTGCCCTCACTGACCCGACAGAACATAATAGTACCCAGAATGATTGCCCTCAGTGACCCCACAAAATGTAACAATACTTCAGACCACTGCATGCATTATTCACAGAAACTACTATTCTGGGTCCACAGATGCTCATCTACATAGGAATTACATACCTTTTGATTAATTTGAGACCTGGCATCTTCAGAAGAGGCTGCATTCTTTGCCCGTAGAAGAGTGATATCATCAAAATCGGTACATTTTGGCAGGACTGCAAATCTCTTCTGAAGAGGTTCTGTCTGGACTCTGTTTTGAGGAGGGGCAGAATCACAGCAGAATTCTTTCAATTTTTCCAGAGATTTTAAAACATTCCTTGTCCTCAGACATCTCTTTTGCTCTAAGGTAAAAAAAAAAAAAAAAAAAAAAAAAAAAATAACAATAGTATTTTGGTTATGTCCATTTATAACAAGCAAAGAATTTCCTAAAGTGGTAGACTCCCACTAAAGCAATGAACTGAACTACAATGTAATTTTTAAAAAGTAAAGAAACATTGGGTTCTAGGTACAGATAGAATATTAAAACACAGATCTAACTGTACTTGCTCCTAAAGCCTCACTACTACCTTAGGGTTTTGTTCTTTTTTTTCTTCTTTTTTTTTTTATGCGATAAAGACAGAGAGGAGAGGTGACACCTGCAAATGAAATATCTAACGAGCAGAGAAACTACATGAGCAATAACCCATTCAGCACACCTGAAAGCTAAATCCCAAATTAGAAATTAGAAAACTAAGAACCAATCCAATTTACAAGATAAAATGCTCAAAAGACTTGGGAATAGGGCGCTAGTAGCTTTGGAAATGCAGTAAAGGGAGTTTCATAAATAAATTAGATAAGTACAAAGTGATTTGATCCCTAGACCTCCTGTCCCTCTCCAAGTTCAAAGGCAGTTGCTTCCCCATCAGCTGACTGGGGGTGTCTTCCTGGAAAGGTAAAAGGCAAAAGAGGCACAGTTGAAGGAGCACTGCAACTAGCCCAGGATGATGGGAACATGGTTCACTGTGTGTGGGTACACCCGCCTCTCACTTCCCCAGCTCTCAGAACCCAGACAGCCAGAGCACTCCCTCCAGGCCAAAGATGAAAAGATTCCTAACCAAGTAATCCCACCTGCTCAAGAGAACAATCTAAAGATACTGACATCTTTCTTGGTTCACTGAGAAATCTGCACACTTAGACACACCTGCCTTCCTACCTCCATTGCTTTGCCCAAGTTATGCTTCCAATGTCAAAACTGTACTCATTCTTCAAGATCATCTCAAAGCTATCTTCTCCATGAAACCCTCTGCTAATTCTCCCAGCTTAAATCCATCTTTCTTTCTGTGTTCCTATAACAAGATCGAGTCCTTTCATTACCTCGTCACAATCTGCCAATTTGCAGTTGTTCATAGGCAAGCAATTCAGAAAAGAAGAGAAATGAACACTTCCTGGGTCTCTACCATGTACTGGAAATACCTAACCCTTTAGCACTATACTATTAGGGAGTTAATACTAAACACAAGGGATGGGGGCTGCATGCATCCACCATCCCTTACCTTCCCTAGTAAAGCAAAAACATTCTGAGAGTAAAAAAGTTGAGTTGTGTTTTGTTCATTTCCTGCCATATTTATACTCAAGTCTCTTTTCGGATGTATACCTGATCATGTCTCCCATGAATCTCCTTGCCAGAAAAATGTAAATTTGAATCTTTTCTCAAATGTGTATGTTCACCTTGTTTACTATTACTCTCCCCATTTCAAAATGTACAATTGAATCATTCTTCAAAAGAACACTGCAAGTGTGTATTATACAAGGATTTCCCTCCAATGCCTATAAAAAAGTTTTCATAGGATGGGTGGGGTGAAAATCTTGGGGTTCTTCTTGTGAAAAAGGAGTACTGAGAAAGTTGATCACACAAACAGAGTCATTCTTGTCAAGCCCAGCTAAAATGTAGTCGAGGAGCCAGAGAAGAAGTACTCAGATCACATGTCATTGCTCCAGAAATGTACTCCTCTGCAAATCTGGCTGCTAAAACTGCCTGCTATAATCTGAAACCCGTTTCATCTGTCAGCTGCTGAAACATCTGCTGTGACTGTAAAGTTATATTTATTACCTTTACCCACCACAGTCACTCACCAATCAGGGTTCATCAATGCCCCAATATCTTACTAATGCCAACAAATTTTCTTTCAAAAGAACACATAACATTTTTCCTTTTTAATGAAAACTCCAACCAACTTCTGTGTTCTTCCCACACACCAAAGACCATCTGATCTGGGCATGCCCCAAATGGAATTTCTGCTTCCCAAATAAAATGTTTTCACTTTAGAAATTCATCTCTGTATTTTATTTGACTTGAACAATATGTAAAAACGAGTGCTAAAAACAGAGTGAAACATTCAAGGACTCTTACGGCTTCTAGATGCTTCAGGATGAGTAATAACACTCAAACTTCATCACTTCCTAAAACTTACTACAGTTTACAATTACAGTCATGCATTGTTTAATGTTGGGGATATGGTCTGAGAATTGTCTTTAGGTGATTTCATTGTTGTGTGAACATCAGAGAGTGTCCTTACACACTCCTAGATGGTGCAGCTTACTGCACACCTAGGATGCACGATGTAGCCTATTGCCCCTAGGCTACAAACCTATATGCATGTTACTACATTGAATACTGCAGGCAAGTATAACACAATAGTATTTGTGGATCTAAACATACAAAAGGTACAGTAAAAATATGATATTATAATTTTATGAGACCACATACACAAACCACTGTATATGTGGTTTGTCACTGAACAAAACATCATTATGTAGCACGTGACTAGACTTATGTTCTTAATGTCACTAATGTTTACTGTCTCTGGGTGATGGAAACACCATATGATGGTATGCTACTGCTGATACACACCCTTTCCAACTCCGCAAAGGTCAAGTCTTAGGATGGGCTCAGCTAGCCCTAGAGTAAAGGGCCTCCCCCACTAAAGTTTAAAAACAATCCTTAAAAAGATCAAACTGCAGGCTGGGTGTGGTGGCTCACACCTATAATCCCAGCACTTTGGGAGGCCAAAGTGGGAGGATTCCTTGAGCCCAGGAGTTTGAAACCAGCCTGGACAACATAGTGAGACCTTGTCTCCACAAAAATTTAAAAAATTAGCTGGACGCAGTGACACCTGTAGGCCCAGCTACTTAGGAGGCTAATGCAAAACGTACACTTAAGCCTAGAAGTTGGAAACTACTGTGAGCTATGATTGCGCCACTGCACCACGGGGGACAGCTGCTAAGGGATACAGGGTTTCTTTGTGGGTTGATAAAAGTGTTCCAAAATTGAATTTGATGATGGTTACACAACTCTTGGAATATATGAAAAGTCATTATATTGCACATGCTATCTAATGAATTGTATGGTATGAGAGCTGTATCTTCATAACTCTGTAACTAAAAACAAAAACTGACATGGAGCAGCTACCCAGCTTCTAACTAGTGGAAAGCCCCTTCCCTTCTTCCTGAGTGCCATTTTTAACAAGTGGCAAAGGATTTTATTTTTTATTTTTTTGAGTTGAAGTCTCACTCTGTCACCCAGACTGGAGTGCAGTGGCCGCTCCCAGCCACCACAGCCTCGACCTGCTGGGCTAATTTTTTGATTTATTGTAGAGATGAGGTCTCACCAAGTTGCCCAGGCAGGTCTCGAACCCGTGGGCTCAGGCAATCCACTCATTCAAACTTTCCAATTCCTGTCTTATTTCAGCAACTTTCTTTCTTTTTTTTGAGTTGGAGTCTCACTCTGTTGCCCAGACTGGAGTGCAGTGGCACACTCCCAGCCACAGCAGCCTCGACCTGCTGGGGTCTGGCGATCCTCCCGCCTCAGTCTTCCAAGTAGCCGGAACTACAGGTGCGCACTATCACACCTGGCTAGTTTCTGATTTATTGCAGAGACAAGGTCTCGCCAAGTTGCCCTGGCAGGTGTCAAGCCCGGCCTCAGGCAATCCACTCGCCTCCCAAAGTGCTGGGATTACAGGCTAAGCCACCGAGCCCGGCTGATTTCAGCAACTTTCAATCTCATCTGTCCTGCATGGCCTTGGATAAGTAACTGTGGTAACCCTCAAGTCTCTCTATCACCCACCTCTTCCTCTATAAAAGGATAAGCATTCTTGGGAGGAATAAATGAGCTTCAAAAAGCCTCAAGAACGAGTCTATGCAGAGTAAAGAAGCAAGAAAGGCAGATAGCCCAGACATATAGCACTGACACTTGACATATTCTGTCAAGTCATGCCTCCCTCTTCAGGCCCCCTTCAGAAAGGAAGAGGAAGGCATCACCAGCTTTATCTTTCTCCTTAGCCATAACCTCCATTTCTGTAGTCATTTCACACTAAGGCTTTCATGCAAAAATCCAAACTTTACCTTTAATGAAAGGATAGATATCTTGTGTATATTTCCAGTAAACCAATACCTCCATTGAACTGGGACTTTTTTTTTTTTTTTTGCTTTTGTCTCACTCTCTTGACCTAATTTATAATGAAGAAAGGAAGATTTCTATCTTCCCTTTTCACAAATTCTCTGAGGTCAAAAACTAGAGAAAAATCTGCTCAACAATCTATGTCCAACACCACCTCAAGAAGTCCAGGTGCTCAGATGAGCAGTTTTTATTCAATGCCTTTTAGCACCCAGAAAAAGCAGATCCATGCAAAAAAAAAAAAAAAAAAAGGAGGGGGTAGATCTATATGTCTTGATATTGAAAATTATGCAAAAGGTCCTGCTAAATAGAAAAAGATAGCATAATACAAACTGTAAAACATGATAAAAATGTTAAACTAATTTGTGGGCCTATGCATATGGACACATGTATATATATAAATAGAAAAATCTGGAAGAACATACTGAACCCCAAACAATTAGCAGTAGGCATCAATGAAAGGGAAGAATTATAGGGTCTTTCCACCAAATTTCTGTATTGTTTGAAACTTGTATTAGCAAGAATGTTTTACTTTCATATCAGGACAAAATCAGCTAGAAGAAATAAGAGAAAGTTGGAGGAACTACAGCTAAAAGGCAGAACTCCAGCTCCACCAACCTCCAACCTCCTACACATAGCACCACCACATGGGAAAGGGTCACTCTGCTCAGGCACAGTTGAACTTTTATCTACAAAGGAAAGAGACACAACCCTCTATCAGGCCCCTCTGCCTCTGGAGAAGTCACAAACACCAGGGCCATGACTGGGGAGAAGGAAGAATCATCACCCACAACTCACCGGGGTTGCCAGACACCAAATCACTCCCTCCTTCCTTTTCTTGGACTTTCTTTGCTTTCTTTTTATCAGGTTCATCATTTCCCAGAGGTCTCTTTTTACTTCTGTCAATTTTTGCAGCCTTATCAGAAAGGTTAGAAAATGAGGTTAGTTCCATTCTAAGAAGGCTTGATGTACGTAAAGTAATTTAAACCTTATATCTGAGTGACGACAAGTTCCTTGCCATCTACCTCCATAGGATCATCTACTTTTACCTGTGGAAAAGTCTAAGGGTGAACTGTTTTGGACCCCATCAAAGACAAATCAGACCCTGATGACACTGAAGTATGAGTTGCAGCACCTCAAGCCTCCTAGAATTAACTGAAACCAAGATTGCTACCTTTCTGCACTCAAACTGCCTTCAGTTGTCTCAAACTGTAAAACTGGAATCGCTGTACTTACATATGTTAAATAAAATACCTCTATGAAATAAATATCTATTTAGAAAAGTCACAATTAGAGGTGAAAGACTGGTAATAAAGACCAAACCATTTTTTAAGTGTTAACTGTAATTTAACTGTTTCCTGTTTAAATGGCTATGTTCACCACCAAAGATGCAACAAAATTATGAGCCTTTTATTGGCAGGAAACCTGTCCCAAACTTAACTACTTCACTAAATATTAAACGATGGGTGTAAAATAAAACCCTGGTGAAGTCATGACAATGCAGGTCATCCTCCAAAACATAAGGACAGGTGAGGAGCAATCACTTTAGGGAAGAAGGAAGGGAACAAGATTTCCAGGCAGCCAAGCTGTCACCCGCACTAACTCGTAGTGGGTGCTCGGGCCAGTCTGCCATCCGCGTCCACAATCTCAGTTTGGGCAACACTGTGCAGGGCCCCCAGATCTTCCCCTGAGGCAGCAGCCCTGGCTAAAAAAACAAAAACACTGCTTATTTTACTGCATTGAAGGATGGCAACAGGAAGGACCCAACCATCAGCGATCATACCCACACCATCTTAAGAAACTCCATCCACGTTTGTATACTTAACCCTGAATTGTACCCCACATCTTTATAATAAAAATTAAAAAAAAAAACAAAAACTCCATCCACCCAAATTGTCTAACGGGTTCTACATCTACACTGGGAAGGGTGTGGCCACGGGAAACCTCACGGTGTGACGTCACGTTATCACCACAGAACTGAAACGGTGAGCCACGCTGCTGCCGCCTGACGAACAAGAGCCCTGGAAGCCACTTCCTTCCAGCACCCACAAGTGAAATCCCCAAACCACAAACCCAGGAAAACAAGAGGGACGACGAGGCTACAAGAAACCTCCCGCATCAGAATGGGTCAGGAGACCCGAACTCCCGCCACCGCCCGTGAGACCTCAGCCTCCGGTAGACTGCCACCAGCACCGGAACCACAAACCGGAGGTGGCCCCAGATTGGCTCTCACCACGAGCTCCCTCCCCGGGCCCGCCCCTTCCCACCCGGACATGCGCCTCGCGGGAGCCTCCCCCCCCCCCCGATGGCCCCGCCCCTTTCGGGGGGCCCCGCCCTCGCCCGGGTACCGCTCAGAACCTACCAGGTGTGGCTGCACCAGCGGGAAGGCGGACGCTCGGGACGCTGCGGAGTCGGGGTCCGTCTGGCCCCCTGTGGCCGTGGGGGAGGAGATGGACTTCAGACTTCCCGTACGCTGGAAGAACCGGCTCAAAACCGCTTGCCTCGCAGAGGCTGGGCCGGAGGCACCGCAACCGCCCGCCGCAGGCTTCCGACGAGACATCGCAGGGCAAGTGCACAGCCGGTGCGAGGCCCAGCCGACAGCGCGAGCCCGCAGTTCCCGGGCGTCTGCCGGCACGCGCACGCCGCGACCTGCCGTGCGCCGGAAGGCGTGGTCTCGCTGCCCTCGCGCGTGGGGGGCGGGGCCTTGTCTCACGCGGGAGGCGGGGCCTCGCTGCCCACGTGGGGGGCGGGACGGTAGCTTTCGCGCCACTCTTGACTGGGATTCCTGTGGGGCCGGGGTGCGCGAGCGAGGGACGCCGCCGTTATGGTCCGTCCGTTGTACTGCATCGTCGCAGTGTCCCAGAACATGGGCATCGGCAAGGACGGGACCCTGCCCTGGCCCCCGCTCAGGTACCGCCGGGGACGCAGCGGGCGGGTGGTCAGGCCGCGGTTTGAGCTGGGGGAGGGTGGCGGTTTAGCCCGCGTCTGCAGCGCGGGAAGCCGAGTTGCTGCTCTCGCTAATCGTCCCGTCTTCCTGTCCTGTCCTGCTGTCCCTCCGTCTTCCTGCCCCGTCCCGTCTTGCTGTCCCTGCCCTGCCGCCCTCGCCCAGTCCAGCCCGGGGCAAAGTTCAGCCCGGGAGCCCTCCCCAACCCCCACCCCCCCAGCACTGCGTGTTTGGCGCATGGCAGCGCGAGCCCGCGAGTCTTGTCTGAGTAACGCCGTTCCTCTTCTCTCATAGGAACGAATTCAGGTATTTCCAGAGAATGACCACAATGTCGTCCGTAGAAGGTAAGGGGGGCGGGAGTTCTAGGGGCTAAGGGTCGCGAAGGGTCTTGAGGAAGCTTTAGCAACGCAAATGTTACTTAAACGGAAAGTTCCTCACGTTAATCGTTTTATCTTTCCGTTGATCTGTCTTCGGCTCCCAAGTTTATTAAACTGTTTTGTTTTTAAGTTTCTTTGGAATTTTGTGCCGGCGCAGTGCAGTTCTGGCGTTGGGAAGAATTGGAGCCTGGAGCCAGTGAACCTGGTGGTGATGAGCCTCTGGAGGAGGCAGGGAGGCCTGAAAAGGGCGGGGAAAGGAGAGGATCAACTCTTAGTGACACTTGATTTTGGAGATCTGAACTTTAAAGGAGGTGCATCAGGATGGACTGTTAGATGTCCAGCTTGAGAGTCGGGTGACAAGAATAAATAAAGGAGTGGAGAATGATGTGCAGCTGGAATGACAGGTGAGGTGGGTGACAGGGATAAAGGAGTGGAGAGTAGTGTGCATTTAGGATGACAGGCCAGGTGGGTGACAGATAAAGGGGTGAAGAGTGGTGTGTAGTTGGAACAACAGACTAGTTGAATGTTCCCTCTGTCATTCCTCCCCCATGACCAGAAATATACACGGATATGCAGGGATAACGGAGTGGAGAATGGTGTGCAGCTGTAGTGGCAAGTGAGTCAAGTGACAGGGATAAAGGAATGGAGAGTGGTATGTAGCTGTAGTGACAGGGCAGGTCACAGAGATAAAGTTGTGGAGAATGTTGTGCAGCTAGAAAGACAAGTGGGTCAGGTGACGGGGATAAAGTTGTGGAGAACATTGTGCACCTGTGGTGACAGCTGCCTGTAGATCATCTGGGTTAATTTCAGGCACAAGGAACTAGGTGAATGGAGCCACTGGAGAGAAGAGGATAACCAAGGAAAGGAATGTGGGGTGCAGGGACGCCCATTTAAACCTAAGAGGCTTGTATGTTTCTGGTCATGGGGGAGGAATGGCAGAGGAAACAAAGAAAGTAGCTGATGCTGCATGACTCTGACAGGGCAGAGAGAAGGCCCTTGGATTTGGCACATAGTAGACAATACAGCAAGAGCTCATAGCTAGCTAAAGAACTGACAAAAGCCGTTCTCAGGAGTCCTAAATCTGGCCTGGTAATGTTACTGTTCCTTTGATCCAAATAGTTTTTTCTCCCAAAAAAGGAAAGGTATATTTTATTTTTACTTTTTTTGAGTCAGGGTCTTACTCTGTAACCCCTGCTGGAATGCAGTGGCACAGTCATGGTTCAACATGTCTCAGGTGCTCCTTCCTTCTTAGCCTCCCAAAAGGATTACAGGTGTGGGATTACTGGGATTACAGGTGTGAACTATCACACCCAGCCTGTATGTTTAAAGTTTTTTAGAAGTGTTATACTTTAAAGGCAAGGATAAAGACACAATTGAACATGCTGTAAGATAATTAAATAGAATTTTAAGCAGTTATTTTTGAAATATGATTTATGTAAATCTACAGAGTACACAAATGTGAGTAATACTATTACATTCAACATAACTGTGTATTAGATGCTGAACATTGTTCTCTAAGTCTTTCATACCCCAACAGTCTGGAAGCAGGAAGGCTTGTTCTCTCTATTTTATAGAAAAGGAGAGTAAGGTACAAAGAGTTAACATGATATGCCTCATGGTTGACAGAATGCATTCAACCCAGACCCTTTACTCCTTACTACATCATTGCATTTACTATTACTCTCGACTACATTTTACATAATTGCAGTTGATTAAAACTATTAGATATTAACTGAATAAAGTCAAAGGCAAAAGTAGTTACATTTAGGTAATGGGTAGGTAATAAATGTGAATTTTGGTAAAACTTTTAATTTTTTAATAGTAGGGCATGCTAGTTATGACCAGCCTCAGCCTATCCTAAAAGTCACTTCTTAGTGCATTTAGAGCTGGCTCTAGAGAGGGGATCCTCACTTAATCTTAGCGAGTCTCAAAACATAGGGTTTTTTTGGTTTTGTTCTGTTTTGGTTTTTTTTTGAGTTGGGGTCTCATTCTGTCGCCCAGGCTGGAGTGCAGTGGTGTGCTCACAGCCACCACAGCCTTGACCTGCTAGGTTCAAGTAATCCTTCTGCCTCAGCCTTCCAAGTAGCTAGAACTACAGGCGCGTGCTACCATGCCCAGCTAATTTTTTGATTTATTGTGGAGATGAGGTCTGGCCAAGTTGCCCAGACTGGTCTTGAACCCCTGGGCTCAGGCAGTCCTCTCACCTTGGCCTCCCAAAGTGCTGGGATTACAGGCTTGAGCCACCATGCTCAGCATAGGTATTTTGATTTTATGTAAAACTAGAAAAAAGTTATTGATATAACTTATATTTGCACCTACTGAATAATAGTTTAAGAAAACTTGCTAATCTGATGGCATAGTGAGATTTAATGTAACTTTTCAAGGTGAACAAATCAATTAACCACTTAAGCAGCAGAATAAGTTACTGTCAAGTGGTGTAAATTCACTTTTTTTTTGAGTTGGAGTCTTTAAAGGAGATCCACTAGATGTCAGGATGACAGTCATATCTGTGCACATATATATAGTACATCCTCACCTAACATCATTTATAGGTTCTTGGAAACCATGACTTTAAGTGAAATGATGTGTAACAAAACCAGTTTTACCGTATAATAATTGATAGAAACAAAAACATCACTGAATTTCCAAATAATGGCCCAAAACACTTCTAATATTAAACATTGAAATAAATATGAACCATACATAGCCTAAGAAAAGCTAATAAAAATGGCAAGATAATTATTTACCAGTTTATTCCAATTCAGCATCATGGATGCCGCAGCCCATCCCAGCAACTCAGGGCACACTCACATCCACCCCCACTCACTGACAGAGACAATTTAGACACTGATTCTCTCACATGCACATCTTTGGGATGTGGGAGGAAACTGGAGTACCCAAAGAAAACCCACACAAATATGGGGAGAACATTGAGAATGGCTTCTCTTTCTCATTAACGTTGTAACAAAACAACTTGAACAAAACAGCATTATTTGAGGACGTGCTATATAAAATGTATATTCCCAATGTATATATATATATGTATCTTCCCAAAATATACTTATTCTTTGTATGACTTTATAGGTAAACAGAATCTGGTGATTATGGGTAGGAAGACTTGGTTCTCCATTCCTGAGAAGAATCGACCTTTGAAGGACAGAATTAATTTAGTTCTCAGTAGAGAACTGAAGTAAGTACTGTAACATAAATTCACCATAAGAAAATCATGTTGTATCTCTTGAAGTGGAGATCAGTATATGATACAATGAAATCTTATAAAAGTATCTTTTGGTAAAGTTGCATAATGTCACAGAGGAAAGTATAGATAGTGAATAAGCAGACTGGGTGTGGTGACTCAAGCCTATAATCCCAGCACTTTGGGAGGCAGAGGTGAGAAAATTGCCTGAGCCCACAGGTTCGAGACCAGCCTGGGCAACTTGGTGAGACCTCATCACTACAATAAATCAACTGGATATGGTAATGCTTGCCTATAGCTCCAGCTACTTGAAAGACTGAGACAGCAGGATCACCTGAGCCCAGGAGGTCGAGGCTGTGGTAGCCATGAGCTACACTGCACTGCAACCTGGGCAACAGAGTGAGCCTCCAACTCAAAAAAAAAAAGGGAATAAGCAGTTATTTGTACCACATAACTTATTCTGCTGCTTAAGTGGTTAATTGATTTGTTCACCTTGAAAAGTTACATTAAACATTAAATCTCACTATGGCATCAGATTAGCAAGTTTTCTTAAACCATTATTCAGTAGGTACAAATATAAGTTATATCAGTAACTTTTTTCTATTTCTAGTTTCACATGAAATCAAAATACCTAGTCCGGGCACAGTGGCTCAAGCCTATAATCCCAGCACTTTGGGAGGCCGCAGTGAGAGGATTGCCTGAGTCCAGTGGTTCAAGACCAGCCTGGGCAACTTGGCGAGACCTTGTTTCTACAATAAGTCAAAAAATTAACCGGGTGTGGTAGCATACGCCTATAGTTCCAGCTACTTAGAAGGCTGAGGCAGAACGATCGCCTAAACCCAATAGCTCAAGGCTGCAGTGGCCATAAGCATGCCACTGCGAGTGAGACTCCAACTCAAAAAAAAAAAAAAATCAAAATACCTATGTTTTGAGACTTACTAAAATTAACTGAGGATCCCCTCTCTAGACCCACTCCTAAATGCAGTAAGAAGTGACTTTTAGGATAGGCTGAGGCTAGTCATAACTGGCATATGCCCTATTATTCCTAGTTAACAATACCCAGATAACACTTTGTGCTCATGTTCATTACCCAGTGTCTGAGAGTAAAGAATTCCAAAGTACTGAGATGGATCCTGGGGAGAAGTGTCTTCAGTTTGCCTCTACTAAGAATATTCCTGTCCTCCAGTATAACATTGGAGTTGATAGTTCCTGAGGCCTGCATAGGCCCTGGGGACTGGGACACATGGAGTCAGCTCTAGTAGTGTGACGTCTGTGCTTCCATGTCATGTACTCCAAATGTGATGTGTTGTGATTTCTATTTTGTTTCCTCTTTTTGGGGGCGGGGGTGCGGGGAGCGGTGTTGATATTGGCCCTAACCCACTGAAGTAACTTCCTGAGCCTCTGTGGACCTTTTTGGGAGGGTAGGGGAGTTGGATCTAAGGGAAGGTTTGGGATTTGGCGTGTTAATCATTCTTTCTGAAACTGAGAATGTAATCTCCAAAAAAAGTACAGTATCCTGGGGCATTACTTGCTTGAGAACAATGGTCATAATATTCTTTTCCGATGTGTATTAGTCAGGGTTCCACAAGATCCAGTAGAAGATTTATATACGTATGAAAGAGTTGTATGACAAGGAATTGGCAACACAGTTGTGAAGTCTGACTGTGGGAGTCCACAGATCTGTAGGGTAAGCCATCAGGAAGGGCAGGCTGGAACTCTGCAATAAAGGCAGAAGCTACCAGGTTATCTTCAGGGAAACCTCAACTCTGCTTTTAAGTCCTTTGAACAGTTGAGTCAGGTCAACCCAGGTTAAAGTAGACAAATTATAGGTAAGATCACATCTACAAAATACCTTGGAAGCAATACCAAATGAATGTCTGGATAACTGGAGACTAGGCAGCCTAGTTAACACACCATGGGAAGGAAAAGACTGCACAGCCATAGGCTAAGGGGATTCAGGCTTACATAGCTTTTTCTCCCAGACTCCTTCTGGAATGGCACAGGTAAAAACCTAGGAGAAAGTGCACTAGGATGATTGATTGGCATCTGGGCAATAGCCATGTTTATTGATGTGCACTTGCCATCTGCCTCATCTCCGTGCTGTTCTTTCTCCTAGATGCTGGGATATTCTGATTATCTCTTTCCTTGATAGAATTCAAATTCACAGACTATATTGCCATTCACAGAGACTCTAATAACATTTTTTGAATACTATTCAAGTTTACTTATGAGTAGCTTGAGCTAAAACAAACATAAAGAAATCTCTATGGGGGAGATGTACAGTTGAGTGAGCATTTCTCCTCTAATGATAAATGTAATTTTTCTTTTATGACCCCCCCCATGGTGTATGTAATTGAATTTGGTTGCTTCTTATGTATTTATATATAACATTTGTTGGTATATTTTGCTTTTCTTTAAGGCTGAGAAAATTAGTCTTTATTATCAAGCATACCAGGAAAATAGTGACACCTGTTAGTGAAGATGGTAGAGTTCATTTTTCTGCTCTTCCTGCTGTGTGCCAGTTGCAGGTCCTAAGTAAAGGGGGAGATCTAGATATGGAAATCACTGTTCTTATACAAACTTTTCACCCTCTCCCCCAGTATAAGAAGGAACTGGATCCTAAAGGTGACCATGAATTTTGCCGTCAAATACTAGTTATATGGGGTAACTATTTCTTAATAAGGTATGGGAGGAAATGCTTTTCTAAAGCTCTGTAGACAGTCTGTAGCTGTAAAAGAACAGGGAGAGGTGGGCATGGCCGCTGATGGGTACAGGGCTTCTTTTGGTAGGATGGAAATGTTCTAAAAGTAGATAGTGATGCTTGCACACCTCTATGAAGAGTGTGCTAAACACCACTGAATTGTACACTTTAAAAGGGTAGGTTGTGTGGCATGTTATTTATATCTCAATAAAGTTATTTTTAGACTTCCTTGGAACCAAAAATTAAAGAAGCTTTATTGCAAGTCTATATAGCCTTGATACCATCTTTAGAAAATCCAAAGTTGCCTTTTATGATATAAGATGTTGTATAACATTCAAGTCCATTAAAGTTAGGCAGATTTCATGCTATAGGCCTGGTGTTGTGACTCACACCTATAATCCCAGCATTTTGGGAGGCCAAGGCAGGAGGATTGCTGAGACCAAGCGGTCGAGGCGATGGTGAGCCATGATCATGTCATTGCACTCCAGCCTGGGCAACCCCCCCCCAAAAAAAAAATCTTGTGGTATAATAATTTCTTATGATCTCTCTGTCATAGTCTCCCATTGATTAAAACTTCTCTCTTAAAACAGCAGTTCTCTCTCCCCATACCCTCACATGTAGTGAAACAAGCACAGGCTAACCTGGCTTCTAGCATCTGCTAGGGCACCTGGTAAGTTTGTGGCTTTAGACAGGTTACAAGTAAGCTGTGCTAAGCCTCTACTAAATGGGAGTAATAGTGATAGCTTCTTGGGGGTGATTCTGAGGATTCACTGGAACTTTATATATATAATTTATGGCACAGAGAAGGGTACAGTTTCAGTTTCTACCCCTAGCCCCTCATGACCACTGCAGCCCCAGTCTGCTGGGCTCAGGTGATCCTTCCGTCTCAGCCTTCCAAGTAACTGGAACTACAGGCATGTGCCACCATGCCCAGCTAATTTTTTAATTTATTTTAGAGATGAGGTCTCGCCAATTTGCCCAGGCTGGTCTCGAACACCTGGGCTCAGGCAATCCTCTCACCTCAGCCTCCCAAAGTACTGGTATTGTGGGCATGAGCCACCGCACCCAGCTACTTCATGGCTTATGAAAGAACCAGCATCAGTGAGATCACAGTGAACAGGCTCATGACATCAGTTCTCCTTAGCTGTCACTGGTCTCCGCTCTATCTTGAGACAATGACCCCTCCTGCAAATCCACTCTCCTCCTGCCCTCCTTATTCTAAACTCCGTTTTTCTGTCTTCAACACTGAGCTCTGTTTTCTCACTCTTGTTTAACACTTACCACAGATTATTTCCTTCTACTCTCAGTGTTCTCAGTGCTCTCTTGTGTTAAACTTCAGTGTAACCTGAAACATTCTATAGTAGTTGGCTTTGTTCGTGCTTTTGTGCGTGTTTTATCTTCTTTCACACTCAGCTGAGGAGTCATGCCACATGGTGTTTTCTCCTGCATCACCATACCCCTCTGCCCCCATAGCATTTGCCGCACATCTCTGCTGCATGTCTTTTCCTACCTTATAGCCACTACTGAGACATTTCTCTGACTGCAGTCATGATTTTTTTGGTTGTGGGAACTGTGCATTTTATCTCTTTTCCCAGCATCTAGCATGACCCCTAGCAAAGTAGAGGCTCAGAAATCTTCACAGAATAGATATTCCACAAGTGATTTATAAAAATAGGACCATCCCACATCATACCACTGTGTAACCTGCCTCTTTGCCCCACTTTATATGTTAGAAAAACAAGTTCTGTAAGCATTTTTTAGTGCTCAAGCCTGTAATCCAGCACTTTGGGAGGCTACTGTGAGAGGACTGCCTGAGCTCAGGGGTTTGAGACCAGCCTGGACAACTTGGCAAGACCTTGTCTCTACAATAAATCAAAAAATTAGCCAGACATGGTAGCGCGCGCCTGTAGTTCCAGCTACTTGGAAGGTTGAGGCGGAAGGATTGCCTGAGCCCAGCAGGTCGAGGCTACAGTAGCCTTGAGCAGTGTGTCACTGCACTCCAGCCTGGACAACAGAGTGAGACTCTGACTCAAAAATATGTACATATATTTTTTTAGTGACTGCATGATATTCCACTGTAAGGCTGGATCATACTTGAACCAATATTTTTAATATAGGCATCCCTCAAAGCTACTGTGGGTTTATTTTCAAGCCCCTGTAGTAAATGAATGTCACAATAACAGAAGTCACAATTTTTTTTTTGTTTTCGAATGTACATAAAAGATATGTCTGCATTATACTGTAGTCTAATAGGAGTGCAATGGCATTATACCTTCTAAAAGAACACTGTATA